TAAACCTTTTGACCAAATCTTGTGGGTTTTGATGTTGTCACACAGAAGCATTAAGAAAAGCAAAGGCCAGAGGGATTTTGTCTCTCACAAAGGGCCCTGATGAAGTCAACACCTGCTGTGTTGTATTCTGGATAAATTGTCCAGGACCTCTAGAACTGATAGGCTCCACCCCAGCAGTATTTTTGCTCCAGGGACCTGAAGATTCCATGCAGGCCTTGCCAGATGATGTGAGTCCCCTGTGCTTTGGGGAATGTGCTCTGTCACACTTCGAACATTCCTGAGTAAGGAAGGTGAATCTCAACCCAAGGCTGGCCATGGATCTGCCCGTACTGATGAATGCAGGCACTGCTAATTGGACAGCACTCTTAATAAGCATTTAGTAGAAGCCTGTGGGGCTTGGTTCATTTATTCTCATTTCTTAGTCACTGGATAATGTATATTTTTGGAAAGATCTTTGTTTTTCCTGCAGGGTAGGTGGAATCCTTCCTGCGATGCTCTGCGGTCTCACTGCGCAAGTGCTGCAGCCTTGCTGCAAGCAGTGTCAGGAACTGGCGCTTCAGGAACGAGCAGAATGAATGGGAAGGCAGCTGTAGAAAATTATCCTACTTAAAAGATGCCTGACCATTGCAGCAAATTATACTTTTAAATCTTTTTTCAGTATATCAGACAAATCAGTGTCTCAACCCAAGCGTCACTTGAAGGCAGGATTGAAGTCTCTGGCTTTTTAATTCATGTAGTGTGATCAAGAAAAGCTTACTTCTGATCAAAGCAGGAGCAGCCCAACTGCAGATGATCAAAGACCTAAGTGTTAGCTGATGTACTGAGAAACCAAATGTGTCTCTCACTAGCGAGCTCAGTAGGAAGCTCAGCTGGAGGTGAGGTTGCAATGGGGGACGTGAAGGTTAGAAAAAAAGAAAGTTTCAGTCAGTCAAAAATGGAAAATTACAGAGTGAATAGCGTCTAATTCCTGGGTACTCAGTGCAGTGGGCTGTAAAAAACCAGTTCCCTCTGAGCAGCTTGTGTGGTGTTCAGGCACAGACTTTGACCCTGGAAAAGTGCTGTAGGTTTGAAAGCTACGATTGACGTGAGCAGACACTGAGGTCACAGAGTGGTGTGTAGTGCCCAGTGCCCTGGGAAAGCACAATCCTACACTCAACTGAGCTGTTTGTTGTAATTCATTTGCTGTTGTGTTCTTAAGGTAAAGAATCATGAATTTTTGTATTGGTTTTCCTGTAGACTTGTGACCTTCAAAGGGATAGAAGTCATTTATGTTTCATCAGTGGCAGTGGAAAAATGCAGGGAGAGGATATTATGGCGGTGACAGATCAACTCTGTTTTATGGATAATAAAACTTGACTGTCATTCTTGTAAAGCCAAAACACAGACCTTTTCTGTAGCAAAAGGAGTAAGTAGTATAGTCAGGTTTGTCACTTGTCACTAATCCAGAACATAAATCAAAATAAACTGAACTACATCCTTGTTTCTTAGCTGGAGATCAGACTGAGGAGGATGATGGGGAGGACAGTTTCCATTTGTGCTAATTAAGCTTTCTGACAGGCAAATGTATCTTCGTTCACAGGGAACTACATGTTTTAGAGTGGGAGTTAATAGGCAGGAAGAGCTCTCAGAGACCAGAGAGTGGGTGAGACTGATGCTTCCTCTGGGAAAGTGCGGGGGCCTGATCTCCAAACACTCCCTGCAGGACCAGACCCTTGTAAGATGAGGACGTGGGTTTAAAGGACATCTCTGGAGGCTGAGGGAACTCATGCCCCTTGTGCTAGGACCTGGTGTTGTGCAAAAGCTCCATGCTAGGAAAGCCCAATGTGAAGCACTTCTGTGGGAAGAGATTGTCCAGTGCTCCAGGGAATGGCCTCTGCTAATATCCTGCTAATTCTAATATCCTCCTAATATCTGCGGCAGGAGGAATCGCTGAGAAGTAAATAAAAAGCATGAACACTCCTGGGAGAAAGAGAGAAACCCTTTTTTTCCTGAGTCTATTGACCAGTCACCGTCTTGCAAAATTCCCAGTGCTGTTGCAGCACCATCATTACATGCAGCTGACGTGCAGAAGTCTCCATAGCATTTCAGCTAAGGAGGGTTCAGTGTCTGGCTGTCTGCTCCAGCGGGGTTCAGGCTGATGAAGGACAGCCCAAAGGATGTTTATCCAATAGCTTGGGATCGCTCAGCTCACTTCAGTCTAACTGACCTCATGGCCAGCAGCACCTTCTCCCCTCTCTGTGCAGAATGACACTGCCATTGGTGTCCCCTGCCTTTGCTGCATTTGTCACATCATTGAGGTGTCATCCAGCCCGTCCCATGGATCCTCCCTCTGCATTTCCATGGGGTAGTAAATGGTGACTTTAATGCTCCCAGTGGCTCTGTTGGGAAAGCTGAAGCTGTTGTGAGAGCTAGAGACTTACAGGACAGTCCTGTGCTTTTTCAGTCTATAAGCTCATGGAAAAACTCTGCTAGAAACGCAGTGTTGCCTCATGGATTGATTTCCTTTCAGATCCAGAAGTGGTTTATTTTTGACCCAATCCTTTCCTTCTTAACCTTCTGCTGCTGTGGTAACACATCCTTTTTCATTTCTATTTTTGGTTTGTGGATTGAGTAAACAGGCAACGATCAAAGGGAATGGCTGGGACACAGGAAATTTCATCTCCATTTCATAAAATGACATCTTTGGCTCCAATGCCACAGGCTGAAGGCAGCTTTCCTGTGTTGTGGTGTTCCCACGTGACAGCATGTGCTGTTCAACATCTGAGCTGCTGCTCTCTAACCTAGCAGCACAGCCAGAAGTGCATAGGAAAGATAAAAATAAATGTTAATCTAGATTTTTGCTCTGCTTATCTGTCCTGAGGCACATCCAAAGTAGTGAAATGAAGTGTTAGGTGGCAGGTGAGGATGAGGCTGATAGGCATTACTCACTCCTGCATGCTCTACGAAGCAGGAGGGGTGCTGAGGGGTGTAAGGTGCTGAGTGCTGTGTGGGGATGTGTACCTGCCCCTAGTTACTGCATATGACATGGACATCAGGGTGCCAGCATTTTCTTACTCAAAGAACCAAAGAAAAAGATTGATTCTGCAAAAGACAACCAGAAAAACAATGATTTCAGAGGATTAAAATGTTGTCTGTACTGGTAGCCAGAGGGTACTCCTTCAGCCCTGGAAAATTCTGGGACCAGTAAGAAATTCTGTGGTGCTCTCTAAAGAGAGATTTTGGTTTAGTTTGGGGAAGTACATACACACAGGGCTTTGGCCTGGCGCAGGCAGGTGGGCTCTTAATCCAAATCCAGTTGAAGCCTCTTTCACAAGTTGCTCAGCTCCAGCTCAACAAGAAAAGCACATGGGAGATGTGCCAGGGCAGTGTATTTCAGCTGCTCCTTAGCAAATGCTGAATGTCCAGGTGAATAATTCAGCTGGAAGGAGAATGTGAGACTTTTGGTGAGAACCCAGACAAAGATTCATGTTAGGTCTCCCTTCAGCAGGCTGAGGAAGTCTTTTTATGGAGTTCTTACTGATTTTGGAATACTTTAATTACATATTTTCTTCTACAAAACTTATAAAAATACGTTTGTTGCCTTGAAGGCTATGCAAACACATTTACAAATAGCCACATTTTTTGAAGATGAGCTATTTGGTTCTACTGACTTTTTTATTAGGAATTTTTTTGTTCTCCCCCTGCCACCTTTTAAGCATGGGCTTCCTCCTTTCAGTCTCAAGGTTTGTGCTTGTCACTGGATCACAGAAATGTTTGGTTTGGGGTTTGACAAAGCTGAGGTGCTGAAAACCTCAGGGAGAGGTGAAGGAGACTCTTTCTAAAGCAGCACATGACAGAAACATTCCCAGTTGAAAACAAATTGCTTTGGGAGGCTCTTGGACTTTTTCCAGTTTTTTTCCAGTTACAGGTCAAACATGAATTTTGATATTATTTTGCAACGACACAAACCTCAAATATTACATTTCTAGTGATGGCTTGAATGAAGCTTTTCCACAAATCTTATATTTCCCATTCAAGATTCTAAGATTGAGTTCTTGGAGTTACAGCCTCATGAATTCCAGGATTTTGAAGGATCCATCAAAAGAGCTTTCTCTAGTCTTGTTCATAATACCTATTCCTCCTGGTCATCTTCTCTTAGTTTTTCATTGTTCTCTCAAGTGCTTCATGGACATGTACAGGTCTTAGGAATTAGGTTTAAATACAGACTTCTAATTATTAGGAGTGAAACTGATGCAGAGCCTGGTTTAAACCCTAAATCTTGTTTGCCATTTCAATGTAGACTCATTGAGTTCACTTGTCAGCCTGGGCTTTTTCTTTTCCCTAAGCATGAGTAGCTACCATTGTGTTTTTCTTCCCCTTCAGCCCAGCGACTAAAGTAAAGAAATTAGCCAATAAAGTAAATATTCTGTCTATATTTCAATCAGGAATATCACTCTTATTTGTGCTGTGTCAAAGCATTCAAATTCTTTTGTTCTCAATTTTTTTTTTTTTCTTGAGTATAATCCCTGTTTCCATTCCCTTCCAAACAAGCCAAAAGAGTAAATCCCAGTGAAAAGCTCAGTTGCTCAGGAGTTATAGGATAGCCTCCACAGATGGAATACAACCTCTATCACTTTTATGGTACTGTTTTTTCCAACCCATCACAGTCAGGCACCCAAAAGATAGGAGCAGTGCTCTGTAAATGATCAGTGCTTTTGCCCTGACTTTCAGTTCCAGCTGCCAAGTGCTGATGGCTGGAAAAGGTAGCTGGTCCTTGTCATCGCTTCAAGATGGATGAACTCCTGTAGGAATGGACAAACTGGGCATGGGAGCCTGTTCTAGGACCAGCAGGGACATCTGTGCTTTCCTGTGAAGGAACAAGCTGCCTATGGGCCAGGCAGTGCAGACTCAAGTTAGGAAAAAAATCATGAATGACAACTTTCAGCAAAATTCTGATGATGTGCAAGACAATTATTCTAGCCTAAACGTTATTTATGATATCTTTTCTTGTCCTTACTCAGGTATTTTGAATTTTATGAAGGACCTTTGGAATACAACTCTACAAAATGCCTGGAATTAAGGCAGGACATCATTGAGGTGAAGGTCTTGTCTATGTAAGTATGACCTAAATGTAAAAAGTAGAAGTACTTAGCAATAAAAAATAAAATTGCTAGAAGTAATACTTCTGAGGCAGGACGGAATGGTATCTTACAATGACACTGTCAAAAGGTGCAAGGCTCGAGAGGTGACATCAACAGGAATCTCAGAAGGGATCTCTAGCCTTATCTTACCTCTGCAAGCAGTGTTTGAATTTGATCTGAGGTCCATTTACAGAACATTGAAGCTTTTCCCATACACTGAGGCATTTTGGTCAGGCCCACAGTTATGGTTGAGAATTCAATACGGTGTTTGTTGTAACATATTTCCAGTAATTAAAGAGTAAGAACAGCCAGACTGACTCATGCAAGTGTCTAGCTTAAGGGTCTTTCATTGACAGTGACCAGTAGTGAAGGCTGAGAGAGGAAGAAAATGTTCAGCCCTTCCTGATAATAAACACTGGCATAGGTACTTGTGGACTGGTAGAAGGAGTCCAGAATGGAGTAATCAGAGTGGACAATAGACCTTTCTATTAATTTGTTTAGGTATTTTCTGAGCCCATTTGTATTTCTGACCTCTTCAAACAGCAGAGAGTTTCACAACTCAAAACCCCTCAGTGAAAAGGTAAGAAAATGTGATTCTGTGAAACAATAAAATATCTCTAAATTGTGTTTTGTGGTCCAATAAGTATGTCAGGAATCCAGTGAGTTGAATGAGATTTATATATGGATCCACAGCGAAGGAACTGGGTGAAAAAAATGAGTTTGCCAGTACAACAGTGCACAGCTCGGTGATTTTAGTGGGTTTTTTTTTTTGCATTTTCAGCATTTCACTGAGTTTAGGTGCTTAGGTTATGCCTATTCCCTCACCACAACTAAAGCCAATGGTTTAGTAGCATTGCAGGCAATGCACAGGGTCTGAAAAGTGCCCTGGGAATGTCAGTTCAAAGCGCAGCTCCACACGTGCATAACATTAAGCAGCTGGGGCTACAGAAAATACAGTTTGTTGCTCCGGGTCTGCATGAATCTGAGCATGTCTCCCTGACTGACTTTGTGCACAGCAAAATGTGGGTTATGTCCTTGCCTCCTGCACTGGATGAAGGATACACGGGTAACACACTTTGCACCGCTTGCTGACTTGCAGCGCTTAAAAATAAATAGGAGGGGTGAGAATGTCACACTTCTCCAATGTTCTGCTGAAGATCAGGAGTTCTGAATTGCTTTTTTTTTTTTCTTTTTGCATACAGAAAGAACTCCTCATTTTTCTTCATCTTACCCAGTGGCCCAAGGAAGGTAGTGGAGTCCTGCTCAGCTAGATATGAGTTACCCTAAATTCTACAGTAGATGCCATTTGACACTAAGCTCTTTTACTCTGCTGGTCTCTTCTGGTGTTCTTGATTCAAATGTGCTATGTTTCCCAAGTCAGCCCTTATGGTAATGGAAGATTTCCAAGTTAATGTGCTCTGGTGGGCTACAGAAAGTACAATATGACCTAATTCCTGCCTGCAACTTCCTCAGCCTGGGAAATGCTCGGTTCTACTCACATTAAATATATAATTATCTTAAAAGTCTATGCTTTATTCAAACATTAAAAGCCCTCAAGCCTGATGAGAACTCATTAAGACCTATCAATCTAACAGAAATCACAGACTTCCAAATTTCTTAGCCAGATTATGCAATTGCTTCCTACCTCTAGATATTTGCAAAGCCTTCATTATCTCTGTTGTCCAAACGCACAAGAATATGTGCGAACTTCACTGTGGAAGTTCTTGGAATTGGTGATATCATCAAAACATGAGTCATCCTGTATCAGCCTAGTGGAAATAGGAGTGGGGGTTTTTTTTTTTTTTTTTTTTTTTTTTATGTGACTACAGGTGTATTGATTAGCAGAGGAGGAGGCAGAGATCCTTATATAAAGAGCTTTTCATTTCCTCTTACCATCACAGACTCTTATCCCTGCACATGAGCTTATAAATTGTTCCTAAAATAAATTTACCTACAGTGTTGTGCTGTAGGATCTCACAGATTAAGTTAACCTCACCAAAATGCAGCTTTAGTTGGCCAAATTAGTCCCCTTTTCCAATACCCCCCTCCTGGGCCCTTCTGCTGGCTGCACCTTTTCCCCAAAAGCCAGCTGATTGACAGCCATTGGCTTCCCAGCAGATTTTGGTAGAGTAGCTTCTTCTTGGTCAATATTGCATTTTTTATCCTGAAAAAATGGAGAAAGCCTATCAGGGAGAAGAAATCAGTCCCAAACATCAATTTTTGCATACACAGGGCTTAGTGTGTCTATGTCTGAGCAGAAAAAGGAAAAAAAAAGATAAATTTTGTACTGTCTAGACTGGCTGATTTGTCCCATCAATTTGCATGGTATTCTATCTGCAGCTGTTTTAGGAAATTAAGCCCTTGTAATAAACCTATTTTTTTTTCATATTTTAGGGTGAAACAAACTGAATTGTTTGACAGATGGAAGAGCCTACAAATGTGCAAATGGGAGATGAATGTCACAGAAGCCAATTTATTCAAGTAAGAATGTCTCACATTAATGAGACTGAGTAAATTTTACTGAGTAAATTTAGTTTGAGTTCAGCTTCTTGCAGAGATCAAAATTGCACATGGATAGCAAAAGTAAGCATGGCAACATTTGGAGTACCATCCTTTTGAATAAATGTGGACTTTTCCCCCTACTCAAAAAAAAAACCAACTCAGCAATAAGATTTCTGGCATGTGGAACAGTGTTCCAGGAAAAGCAAGGGATTTGGTGTGGGAAAGAGTTCCAGGTGTTGTTTGGGCAGCAGTGAGGATGGAGATGAGATTTAATGGCTGCACCTAACATATCAGCCTTAATCTCTGGCTTGGAATGGTAAGATCACTGGTGATACTGCAAATTTGCTCTACAAAATACTCAAACTTCATTTCTTCTGGGTGTTTTAGGTACTGTCAGACCTTGGTTATGACTTTCTCTGGTTGTTTGTTTTTTTGGGTTTTTTTAATGGCTTCTCAGCTATTACTCACATATTATCTACATATTTTTTCTGGTCTTCAGAGACCTCTCAGTTAATTTCTGTAGTGTTCTGTCTTTCTTCATGTAATTTCTATGCTGAAGGTCCTCCATGGTCCTCTCAATACACAGAGAAACTGGCTTTGTGAAGGCAACAGTGAAGCCAAACCAGTTTTTGAATGTTATATATTGATATATTCCACTGCCATATTTGAGTAGGTTTTGAGAAAGCAAACTATTTCAGGGTAAGTGCTGCAGACTGAAGTCTGCAAGTCACTGGTACAATTCAGAGATGTTGTTTGTAATAAGGCTCCCAGCTTTATCCCAAATTCTTTTGCATGATTCCAGGAAATAGCTGTCAGGAGTTAATGAGAGAATGTGAGAATGCATGTGCTGAGTTAGTCATTGACAAGTTTAAAAATAACATTGTTAGTCTCAGACTCAACAGTTTCTCCAACGTGATCTCCACACCTAAGTTTTTTAGGTGTTTGGGAGTTTTTTTTTTGTTATTTTTTTCCCTGTATTTTTCCTGGAAATTACATGGTAGGCAATTATCAGAGCCCGTTTTGAAGAGAAGAGTCATTCAGGATTAGAGCTCATTATTTTAAAAACAGCTGGAGTGAGAGGAGTAATGATTGTACCCAGAGAGAAAGCAGAACTTTGAGGTATGGAAAGGAGCCCTTTGAGGTTTGAAGGCCAGAGCAGACGTGGGAGCAATGAGAAAGGACTTTCCAAAGACCACCAGGAAGACCATCAATCTATCTCAGGCCACCAACACCAGCACATTAAACCCCTCTCCACCCTGTGCACTGAGAGAAAAAAGAGATGAAAGACTCCTGTCACTGCTTCTACCTGCCTGACTGATACATTGCTGCTCCAGGAACCCTCACTGGCACCCAGATGCAAACATAATTTTTGTCAGCTGATTTCAGGAGCAACAGTAGTGCTTGTAATTAAAAAGAAAAAAAAATGTCTAAAGCCTGTTTCGTCTGTGTTCAGTGGGGCAGAGACATCGGTGTGTGAATTTTGGGGAAGCTGCTGTCCCTCAAAAGCAAACCAAGGTCTCTGAGTTTGGAGGCTGTTTAGGAGAAGGATGAAACATGTAATCCTCTGAGCTGTGGGATTTTGAGCTTTGCCAGTCCAGTCCCATCATGTGAGATGGGGAGAATCCAGCAAATTTAAATGGCAGCTACTTGAGCAGCAGAGAGGGATGAAGGGCAAAAATCACCATAAAGTTTGTGTGTAGAGACTAAGGAAAGCAGTTTCCTTGAGAGTCTTCTTCCACCAGATATCAGGCATCCACAAAAAGGACTGTGCCTCTGGAAAACCAGCTGGATGTTAAGGAAAAACATCTCTTTCAATTCCTTAAGGAGCAGCCAATCAAGAGGTTTTTCTCATATCCCAACTATAACAATTCAATTCTGCTATCTGCTTGTAATTGTTTTTGCTGTTAAACATTATTCATTGACTTTTTCAGTCTCATTTGCTGCCTTGATCTGACGGTCATTTTGTGCCATCCTGCATGAGTCAAGTATATGAGAGTAATTGGACATCACTGAAATGTTTGCATAATTCTCTATTTGCTTTCTGGTGCTTGTAATAAAGCCCATAAAGAAGACAGGCTTATTCTTCCAACTTAGAATGGGAGGCCACACACCCCAGAGGCAAGGCATTTAATCTGGGTTATTTGAGAGCCATCTGGCCTTGTCTTCATGCTTGTACATTTGCCATGACATATATTTTTCACTAAAGGTATCAAACACATTGACTGAGAAATAAACAATCTCTGGAATAAGGGTGAGCAGAAGTCAGGGCTTTCAGTGCCACCAGTAAAAGAAGAAAAGCATCCAGGGCTGGATGGGAGGTGGGAAAGGGCATCTTCTTCATAAAGCTGCTTTTCCCATTTATATTTCATGTGAAACACGGCAAAGGGATCAGAGCTGAATGTTTTTTCTCTTTTAGTCTGAATCCCATGTTTGGGATTTTATGCAGTTCTTATTTGCACTGGAATTTATTCCATTTTGTCCCAGGGACAAAGAAAATTTTGGTCATTTGTCTGAGATTTAGGAGTTTTAGGCATGACCAGTTTGCCTGGCACCAATCTGTCGGGGCCACATCACCTTCCTGATGCACACATGTGCAAGGCCAAGGGCAAAACTAAAGTCTTTGAAGGATTTTTTGTTGTAGTCACAGTGTGCTGTGCTCCACAGCAGTCTGTCAAGTGTGGCAGTGTCTTTGGGTATTGCTGTGTTTAAATACTGCCCTGCCACATTTACACATCTCCAGAGGGACTCTTGAACCCCTACATTTCCTGTCCAGTGATGAGACTATAACTCATAAAATGTTGAGGATCTCTCAAGTAGAGAGGGATTAATTCACTAATGTGGTTTTGCCAGGGTATGGGAGGCAGAAGCTCATCTTTGGGGCTAGAGCAGAGCAGAATTTGCACATGAATTTCCCGTGGCCTAGAAGAGACAACTGTAGGTATCTAATTTACTCTCTTTTCTTTTTGTTTTGCCACGGCTTTCTCAATCAAAGAAAATTTCACCAAATCTGAAGTTTTCTGAATGAAAATCCAGCAAACCACCATTTTACCCATCCTAGGGCTAAAAAATTTCTTTTTGGTGAAAAATACCTTGCTAGGAGTAACATCAATTGCAAATCCTGTGTCATGCCATCAGCTCCTTGATCTTATTTCCTTTTCTTTTCACAGGTCTACTCTGTCAAGGTGTTGCAACGCCCCATCCTTTCTGTTCACCACCCAGAAAAATACTCCCTTGGGAACTAAACTGAAATATGAAGTGGACACAAGTGGAATCTTTCATATCAACCAAGAAATCTTCAAAATGTTTCCAAAGGTGCCTCTGCCCATTTGCAGGATCAGCTTCACTGTACTTGCTGCATCAGGCACTATCCTATAGCCAAGCATTTAGCACTTGTTTGACAAAATTCACTGCTTACATTTCGAAAATTTTTATTTTTGATACAATATTTTAGATGACTATTCTGTTTTCTGGTGTCATCTGGAAAATATATACATACACATCCATCCATATATATATATATATATATATGTGTGTGTAATTTCCTGCAGAATATTGCTGACTTAGGAGCAAAGTGGATAATGAAATAAGAAAGCTAAATAAAAGAGACACTGATTTATCAGAATTCTTTCAAAGTATAATATTCACATATAATAAATCCAACATTTGAGGATAGGTCTGCTTTTCTTTTTGGCATGATTGTTTTATAATTAATATTCACAATGACTATTTTTATACTTATTTCTGTTTGCAGATTGTCTGTGAACGGGCTTCATAATTTTTAAATGTATTCATCATAATGATTATTCAAAGCCTTTCCAGCAAATAACACTTGACCTCCAGGGGTATTCAAGGTTATAATCAGTGGGCAATTCCCTCTGCACATAGTGACTGATGAGCAGGAATGGGCTGATGTGGCTGCAGATTTATCATGAGGCCCACCCCTTCAATTTACAGCAGCATACTTGGAGGGAGTGGCTGAAATTCATCCCTTTTGAGAAGCCAGACATATATTCAGGTTAGGTATTTAGATTTGTGCCACTGAACCTGTCCTTCAGGGTCCAACCACTTCTAATTCTTTGGCTTTGTGAGCACTGCTGAGAGGAAGGGAAGTGTTGTTATCTGAATGTGCACATGGGGAGCTGGGGCAGAAGCAGGGAAAGGCTGGGATCCAGGAAAGCACTTTGGCATCTGGAAACGTGCAAAGAATGGCTACATCTAAGTTATCCTCAAAACCTTGCCTGATTAGGCTGATGAGTGCATGAAAGTCTGAACACCTGAGATCTGCTAGGTTTGTCCTAGCTGTGCTGTTTGTCCAGGTATGATCAGGGTGCTGTGAAGGCATCACTACATGTCAAAATGCCTTTGGGGAGTCACTGGGCAGTGACCAAAGCCACCCTCTGCATATGAGCAGGGCTGCAGCCTGGCACATGTAGGAAATAAAGGGTTGAAAATACAGAAGCAATGCTGTAGGGGCAAGAGCCATGTGCTAAGCACGGACACCTGGCTTCTGATTTCCCTCCCAGGGCTGCCAAGGGACTGTGTGTTAAGAAATCACTGCATAAAGCACAGACAGCTCCATATTTCCTCTCTGTCAGACAGCTGCTGCTTTTCTCAGGCAGGTGTAATTGCATGCCCTTTTTGCCTCGTGGCTTATGGATGCCGTGGAAAGATCCTGGGAATAATCACCCAGAAATGTCAAGCCACTCTTGCATCCCTCTGTAGTTTTCAGCATGAGGTTATTGATAAAATATGTATGTACCAAAAATGAGCACTCTCATGCTTATGTAAGCACATTCCTACATATTCATAAGGTGTAGCATGGCTCAGTTCTTCGTCACAGCCCTCTCACCCTAACAGCCCAGTTTGTTCTCAGGATGTGATTTTCACTCTCTGGCTTTGACAGCAGCTGCATCTCTGTGTGTGAAGGCAGGATTTTCCCCAAAGATTACAGGAAGATGCATCATCCACAAGTTCATAAAGGTGTCTGACCAAAGGCAGTGCTGGTAGTGCAAATGCTAATTAATAATCATTAATACTATTAGTACAATTAGAGTTGGTAAGCAGTAAAATTTGGACTGCTTTCTGTGATGTGCTGTCTGACAGATTTCTTGGGCTTTGCTGGCTGCCCTGGAGCTCTGTGTGCAGACTTCCCAAAAGCAGGACACCAGAGGCTGAGGAGCCAGCAGTTTGCAGGCAGCTCAGAAAACAGTGCCCAAGCTACACTAATTCATGGTTTGTGCCCTCACGTGGAAATCAAAGGGGAAAGCAAATGTCTAAAATTACTGCTCATGTTATTGAACCTGGGAAAAAAGAACAGTTTATTGGTTTGGTTTTTTTTCCATTTGGGTTTGTTGCTTGTTCTACCCAGCAAAATATCCCATCACCTTGTGTAGAGGGAATATTGCACTCCAGAACCAGTGCCAGCATCCTATGATTAAGGCATCAAGGTGCAGTTGCAGAGGAAAAAAAAGGAAAAAATTAAAAAGAGGCTTGTTGTCTCCATGTTTTGTGGTCTTTAACTGTTTCCTTGCCATGCTCTTGCAGGACATGCCGTACCACCGCTCCCAGTTTAAGAGGTGTGCAGTGGTTGGGAACGGAGGAATTCTGAAGAACAGCAGATGTGGCCGGGAGATTGACAGTGCAGACTTCGTGTTTCGGTAACCACCACGGCTCCATTTTCTTCTTTTTTTGCCTTTTCTAAGGACAAACAGAATATTGCAAAGCTGTTCTCTCTCACATGGAAACATGAGATTTGCTAAATTGGCTGTGTCACGCCTGCTTCTTGCACAAAAAGCTGTATTTCAAAAAAACCCCAAAAAAAGTAAAAAAAAAAAAAAACCCAAAAAAAACCAACCAACCAAAACAAAACAAAACAAAACAAAAAACAAAAACAAAAAAAACCCAAAAAACAAAAAAAAACACCAAACAAAACCAAAACAAACAAAAAAAAAAAGCCAACAAAAAAACCCCCAAAAACTCCAGAAAACACAAAAAAACCCCCAAAACCTAAAAACTCCAAATCATCTTACTTTATAATATTTTTTAATTAAGCTCTGAGGAATTATTTCTCCCAAGCTCCATGGGGTTAATCACTGACTTATTGGCAAAGACTGATGCTCTCTTTCAGGATATCCCCTACCACTGAGGTTGTGGATTTATCCTTCTATGGATATTACCCTATAAGCAGTGTCCTATGAACCTGGGCATATTTTCTGAGGCAGATCTGAGCCAGAGGTACAGCCTCTACTGAGTGAGAAGCAGCTTGGTCAGAAGTTAATTGCTCACAGCTGATGTGCCTCAGAAGTGTGTTTCTGGACTGGTGCAGAGCTCAGGTGTTCAATAACAGGATTTACTGTAATCAATAATCAATCCAGGGCCTCCAGAGTCACCAAAATAACTATAAAGGTTAAGTGTCTTCACTGCTCCTCACTATATGTGGAATTATCCAGGTTTTGCATAAACTGGGGTGTCCCGCGATGAGTGTCCCTGGATAAGAGAGTCTAGCAGCAGTTTTATAATCCTTAATATATATGAGAAAGATTTTTTTGTTATTCATATGCATGACTAATCCCCCTCTAAATCCTGTTAAGCTCTTTGCCTGGGTCATGGCATATGACCACTAGCTCACAGATTCATGACTTGTTCTCTAGAAAAGAAAAATCTCTTTATTTCAGTTGGCCTATTTTCTAATCTTGGGTATGTTGTTGTTTAGTTTAGAATAACCACATGTAAAGCAATTAATTTCTCTGACTTCACACCAACAAAAATTAAATCAGGTTTTGGTTCAGTGCAGTCTTAATTTAATTTGACATCATATGAGAAAATTGTACAGGTCCTACGTTCAGAATTCATTATTTTCAGACCCCTGTGTCTGCCTCTTATTCCAACTTTACAGAAAACTATTATCTTAGTTTTCAATGAAAAAAAAGTCTGTGAGAAAGTCCAGGCTTCACATAATGTCTTCCTTAAAAGCCTAGTGTACTCCAGATGCATTAAATAATTACTGTAGATTCCCTGCTGTTGTGTTGGATCACAACCACAAGTATGGATGAAAGGAGCAGCCCATGTGGCACATGGAGATGGCAAGTTTTTAAGAAGAAGCTGAAACGTGTCTGGGAATTCTCATTTATGTTTAAGGACTTTTAGTAGATGTCCTGTTTTACCACTGCTACTCTTCCTTGAACGGTACCAAAACAGGTGAAAAAAAGAGGAGATTATTACAGAACTTAGAAACTGGGTTGTGTTTGGTAACTGTAACAATTAAATAGAGGTTTAGTCTACAGAACTGGAATATTAATAAATATATCCATGCCAAAGAAACCCTGGTTCACCATCTCCAAATTGTGGATTATGCAAAAAGGTGTGCCAGTGTTTTAAAACTCAAGGTAATTTTTAAAGTAAAGCTTGTGTTCAAGGTCAGGTCTGAACACATCGGCTTTCCAGTCACCACTCCACCAAACTATCAGGAATCATAATCTTGGCCAGCAGTGAAATTATTTAAGACATTTCACAAGCTGTTTATGGAGCCCTGTTTACATTCAGCAATACCTCCAGGACACTCGGGGAAATCTTTTATTGTGGCCAGCAGCATGCAGCCAGGATTGTTCTGAGAAGTAAATTCTGAAAGCAATTAGTTGTAGTACAATAGGATATATAAAATACACACCAGGATTGTATTTACTAGTAGTTATTGTCTGTCTCCATCTACTGGCCAGAGCAGAGCTCTGTGGTGGAACATCGGGTGAATTTAGAGACGGGACTGCTCTCTTGGTGGGGATGAGTTTTTGGAGCCTTGTGACTAAAGTACAGTTTGTGCAGAGGGGACCATTTTCATAAGGCATTATCACCTTCAAAAAATTCAGTCACTCTTAATCCTGGTGTGAATTTCCTGTTCAGAAACACTGAAGGTGATTATTTGAAAACTCTCCTCAAATATCATCTAATGAGCACAGTGCCCAGTGCAAGGTGGTACTGGGGGTGCCCAAGGATGAGTTGAGTTGCATGACCCAGCAGAAGAAAGCACTAGAACTGGCATTATCCATAAAAAGGATAGCCAAAAACAATTCTTTGATCAGATAAAGATGGGCTATCTGTAAGGTGGATGTGAACCTTTTGAGTGTTAGGACTTTGAAGGAATTTTGTGCATTCTTCTGCTCCCCAAACTGTCCTCTCGCTTTAACTGAGAAATTATCCTGTCAGTTGAAGTGTGGTATTGTGAAAACAGTAAGCATCTCTTACCCTAAATACCACCACAGTTTTTGCTCAGCCCTGTTCTTTAGAAACATGGACAACTTTGAGAATTAGGCACTGCAGTCGTTTTGAGATGTGGGGGGTCTGAACAGTGATGGTTTTAATTGAGGCTTGCAGGTCACTTCAAAAAGATTTCAAAGTATCACTCAGTGCCTAACTCTAGCTTAAACTGAGTGCAAAACCAGTTGCCAGGCCACACGTTTGATCCCTGAAAACACATGCTGAAGTTTTTTTTCAGCTGGATTTCCTTTGGAAGGAAAGACAGCGTGATAGCTTGTGAGTGTGCATTTCAGTAACTTCAGCATCTCCTGAGGGATGCTCTAAATTTTGTGAGATGATGTATCTGGGACAAGGCCAAGGTGAATGGAGGCTGGGCAAAGTGAAGGCTTGCAAATCTCACAAGTTTGCTTGCAATAACTTTGGTGTCCTGTGGTGAACTTGTAGAGTCAGAACTGCTGCTATTACACCGCATGGGAGAGGCTTATAAATGGAAAAGGAAGTGAAGCAGATAGTTTGGGATTAATTAGGTCTGGATTGATTTCTCTCTTGTGGAACATTTCCCCTAAATTCTCCTGGGTATAAACCGAAGCATCTTAAAGGCAATATTTTAGATATAGTTTATTAATTATTGAATTCATCTCAGCTACTGCTCAGCAAGCCTTTGATTTTATAGGCTGATTGGCCTTGGAGCTTCAATCCGCTTTGCATCCTAAACTGCCAGAGTAAATAGGTAAATTGCTATTAAGGAGGCAAAATGAGCAGTGGCTAGACCTGCAAAGAGGGGTGATCTCTCACAGGTAAGGGAACAAGAGAGGTCTTCACACAGCCCTCAAGATCTTGTTAGATTATTGCACAGTTTGGGCAACAACATGTTTTGATACAATTTTTAATTCTCACTCTGTTTCTAGATTTGTTGCTCGGTAGAAATGCTTAAATAAATTTTATTTTCTAGTCCTGAAAAGGTGAAAGAAATATTTAAGCTTTCTTACTAATTTCTCTTTTTTATAGATGCAATTTGCCTCCTATATCTGAGAAATACTTCACGGACGTTGGGGTGAAGACAGATGTCGTGACTGTCAATCCCAGTATTATCACTGAGAGGTTATTTCTGTTTTTTCTGTATTTTCCTTTCTCTTGAAAATCCCAAATCTACTTTCAATATAATTCTGTGACAGAGAATTTTTTCCCAAATCCTACTTTATTCCATCACTATGAATCATACATTTCATTCTGAATTGAACAAGTAACAAGTTGTAGAAATGTGTTAAACATTTAAACCTGCACTTTGATGATAGAAAATGGAAAGGCAATGAGGTAAAATTAAATTAAAACAACAGAGCCATCCTTGCCCTGCTCTGCTTGCAAGTCCCACTCAAACATCTTAGAAACATTGAGGGTGAAAGAAACTGGATCCTATCTGAAATGTCAAAGTCATAGAATCAGAGTTATTAACAGTGGAAAATTAAGATCATCAAGTAAATAAAGTAACACACATTGTAACATGTTTTAAAGAAATGTCAGTGAAACTTTACTTTATAGCCAGGATTGACTAGGTGATTTTAATTTTAAATTTGTTAATGCCCTAATGTTAATGCCCTTGTGAGATTTTTGGGACCATGAGGCTCATTACTGCTTTCCTTTCTCAATGGGGGGATGTGTTTCTTTCCTCAAGCAACACAAAATAATTTCTTTGACTTTGGATTTCTTTTAAAACTGGTACAGTTAGCCATTGTAAACACCTGTTAGCTTTGGTGTTGGCTACTTTTTTATACAGCTCTGCACTGCACAGTGCACCACATACCTTGGGAAAAATTACGTACTTCTAATAATACTATGAGAAGGGAGAGAGGATCAGAAATGGCCACAAGGTTATTATGAAGTTATTATGAATTTTTTATTTTTTAATTTAAATTTCTTTTAGAAAAAATTTTAAAACAAATTTTTAAAAAAGTAATTAATACGTGAATGAATTAAGTAAATAATAAAAATTAATATTTTTAGAAGCTTTTTTATTTTACTCTTTTAGAAGTACGTAATTTTTACCCTTCATTTCATGCTGATGCTGTAGCTACAAATCTAAGTACATTCCCATTGATAATGGGAAGCTGTCAACGGGAAGCATCACCTCAATTATCCCTGCGTCGGAAATAGTTCAGTAAAAGCCCATTGGGTGTTTCTTGCTGGGAACGGGCTGACCACCACTCACCACAGCCTCTCCCCTTCAGATTCCACAAGCTGGAGAAGTGGAGGAAGCCCTTCTACGACGTGCTCCAGGTGTACGAGAACGCCTCCGTGCTGCTGCCGGCCTTCTACAACACGCGCAACACGGACGTGTCCATCCGCGTCAAGTACGTCCTGGACGACTTCGAGTCCCAGCAGGCAGTCTATTACTTCCACCCCCAGTATCTCATCAACGTCTCGCGCTACTGGCTCGGCCAGGGCGTGCGGGCCAAGCGGGTCAGCACCGGGCTGATCCTGGTGACTGCGGCCCTGGAGCTCTGCGAGGAGGTGCACCTCTTCGGCTTCTGGGCCTTCCCCATGAACCCCTCAGGGATTTTTATAACTCACCACTACTACGACAACGTGAAGCCTCGCCCCGGCTTCCACGCGATGCCCTCGGAGATATTCAATTTCCTCCACATGCACAGCAAGGGGATCCTGCGGGTTCACACGGGGACCTGCAGCTGACAGGGACGCTGCGAGAGTGCGGCAGGAGCTCGATGGCCTGTGTAAGGTGTAGGAGGTTTTGTTACACCCCGAGATTATGCAATAATTGTTTGATATAAATTTCCTCAAGGCATTGCATCCCATAAGATCTAGGACACCAGCATCTTTCCTGCTAGCAGAGTTGGGTCCGTAACAGTGTAGGAGAAGCAAAACTCCTGTGCCCCAGGGTACACGCTGTCCTGGAAAGCAAGTCAGATAAGAAGCACATTTACAATACATTTAGGGATAAATAGAGCACATTTATATATTTATCATTTCACTATGGAGAAAAGCACCAAACTTTTGAGGAAAAACAGAGATGGAGAATTTAACATAGATTATATGACTTTACATAGGTTTCTGAATCGAGTACCTTGGAGTATTGCCAGATGTTATTGAACACTCTGTTCTCTGGCCTTTAGATTTTTGAAAATACTCTTTAGCATTATAGCTTAATGGGGATATATAACATAAAACCTTTGTTCTGTAATGTCACAAAGTGTTGATCAAAAATATCAGATAGATGTGCTAGGAATAAACAAAATCACTTTATGAATTTTTTCAACGAGGATAGAATAGAATGTTGAACTCCCATTCACAGCAACAGGTAACTGTGTGAATCATGTTGTGATATTCTTTTAGAGATTGTTTCTTCTTCCTTCTTGCGCCTTGCATTTCTGTTCTCCTCTGCTGATTGTGCTTCCTTCCTCCTTGTCTGTGATGCTTTCCTTCTGGCTAACACATGGCAATGTGTGCACTTCCTCCTACAGCCACCATCTCAGCATCACATTGGAGTTCTTGCTGAAGAAACAAGCTCCTTCACAAGGTTTTCTTGAGATGAAGAGCAAGGGGATTACGTAGTTATATTTTACAAGTTGATTTTTTGGTTCAGCATAAGATAGAAAAAACCCGTTTCCTTGTTGATTTTTATTAGAGACTTTGTAAAAGTATCTGAGTGTTGATTCACTGTTGTGTAGGTTGAGTTAACACTTTCAGGTATCTGTAATATGTTAATGTCAGGAAATGAAGTTAAAATTCAGAGAAGATATTTTGTGGCTTAGATTATGATGCTTATTTTAAAATTATGCATCTTGAGATGTCAAATGTCTTCATGTGGCGTTTTTGTATATTGAGAATGTTATTAGGATAGTGAAAGGGCTGGTGGTGTATTCTTTAAATGTCATCAGTGTAGCTCTGTCAGGTATGCCAAGCCCAATTTTTCACCTGCTACAGTTGGCAAGATCTTGAAGCAGAAGAGATGCCACAAGTTGCTGGAGCTTGTTTTGTTGTAGTAGGCTGCTGGCATATGCCCTTTCATACTGGTATGACTGCATACACAGGAGGTGAGGGTTGCTGTTCCAGCTGTGCTGGCATAGTTAAATGAACAGAGTTTCCCTGTCTAAGTTCTTAGTCTGAAGCACTCGGGCTGTTGCCTTGTCTTGTCTTGTGTAGATTACAAGATCTTTGATCAAGGACTTGAAGTTTAAAGTTCCGTATGAGGGATTTTTTTTTTTTGCTGGGGGCTGGGGGTAGAGGGTTTAAATCCAAATACGGACTTGGATTTTGACTTTGTAATGCATGAATGCACAAAGCTCCTTTTAAAAGCGTCTGTGCTACGCTGAGAGCTGTGCAAGTTGCTCACACTACAGATAAAATGATCACAAAGAAAGTGAAAGCACATTGGTCACCATTTCAAAAGTCCCTGCTGCCCAGCAGTGACCTGGATGGCATGTGAGAGTGCATTTTATTTACACTACACTCTTGAGGTTTGATTGCCTTAGAAGAAACCCATATCCTTGACGAAGGCGTCAGAACTCACCTGGGAAACATCAGTCAGGGGCAGGTGAAGGACCAGTGCTTAAGCTTAATATATTATTTGTGGTGATGTGTTTTAGGTCTTAGAGTTACACTGCGTGTTATTGAGCACCCCCTCGTATCGTCTACCTGTGAAATAGGCAGCACCCCCATCAACCCACAATGGTTTCCTTGACTCAATATGCAAAAGAGATCTTTGTCTTTGCTGTGTTCTGTGAATTTGTGTGCAAAGGGCTTTGACAATGAAGTGCTGTGATGAAAGTGCTATTTAGAGAGCAATGTGACACTGCAGGTTGGCCGTCTCGCTGTGCATTAAGTTTTATGATAACAGTAATGACACTGAAGCTGGTACTTAGAGCCCTTACTCCTTATTCTGCCTGAGTTTGGGACTAGTAGTGGCTTCAGGTTTGCTTTGCTGCTGCTGCTCTGCTAAGGTTACCTTCTTTAGTAAGAGATTTTTCTTTACTATGGTGATGGAAGTGAACAAAATCAACTGAAAGGAGTCTGGTTCGTTGCAAAAGGCACTTCAAAAAAGATGGGAAAGCACTTGAGAAGCATCCATTTGTTGATAGAAATAGTGCAAATCCCTCTTTTTAGTTGCAAGGAATCCTTTTGTACAGACAAAAGGATAAGCCAAACTGCATTTACAGTTAATCTGTAAATACAGGGCCACAGACATGTCCTTTCCATTGTTTGCTTCATATAAATGAGCAATGTAAATTCACTGTAATAAGTGCAGTGTTACTGTGTTTAGATTTTGATTGCTTATAAATCTATAGCTACTATATTTTTTTAATGATTTTAAGAAGTGTGTGCAGGTTACTTGCACATATGCACCAAAGGCCCAATCTTGCCACATTTATCTGAAAAGAGCCCCCATTCAGGTGGGTGGGTATTTTATTTGTGTGGGACTGCAGAAACAGGCCCAGATATTTCTGTGAAGGTGTACATAGGTGTACAGTTAAGGAGTGATTCACAAGCCAGAAAGATAATTAATGAAATATATATAAAATACTCCTTGAGATTAAACACATGTTTCAACGTGTTCACTTTCTGACTCATTTTTTAGATGTTGCTCAAAAAATTATTGCAAAACGATGGCATTTGTCAGAAATTCCATATGTGGAAGGGTTTTTGCAGAAAGAAGGACCTTCCTTTCTGCCATCACTCTTTTGTGTTCTGAGCATAAGAAAATATTCTTTTGACATAATCATTTGTCTGATTTTGGGGCTGGTTTTGTTTTCCTTTCTCTCATGAGATCTAAGCTCCAAATGTCCAATTTTAACCTCTGAACAACAGGATATATGAGTGATAAGAAGTGGCTGTGAGGTGTGTCTGCTGCAAGTAAAGGATGTGTGTAGCACGTTGTGCTTTCCCAGAGAAAAGTCTTCAGGCCCCAGAGAAATCCCCCCCACCAAAAATTCTGATCTGTCCATGAGGAATGGCTGTCAACTCTCTGGTACCACATCCTGAGCTTGAGCTGTAATCCCAGCCCTGCTGCTGAGGATATGAAGCCTGAGACAGGCAGGGAGAAAATGTTATGGTTTAATCCCCAGTTCCTCATATTATTTAGGAGAATCCCTTAAGAAGTTCCTGATATCTGCATACACTGGCAGTGCGAGTTCAGTTGGAAATGATAACTAGGATTGCTTTGACTTTATTGTCGGGTCAACAGAGGAGGCTTATGAATCTGCCAGTGCTGTCATCAAAGGGAAGGAAGTATTTAGCTGGAGCAGTTTAGCTGATTGCTTTTGATTCATGAAATCCAACTTTGCTGTTGGACAGAATGGCTTCAATGGCGATAGGGCCATTATAATATTTTAGCATATTTCCTGTGATTGCAACAGATTTGTCAAAGCCAGCTCATGAATTGCAAAAGGGAGAACCATGCCATGACAGCTCCTTCTGCTGCTATCTCAAGGAGGAGAGGCACCACGCTGAGCAGGTCTGTGGTCTCCTGGAGAAACAATGTGGAGGGAATATAGGAGACTGCAAGCACAGCACTGCTCCAGAGCCTTCAGTGCCGTGGAATAACACGGCACAGGCAACAGATGAAATTTCACAGCTTGCAGCAATCAGGGTGGCTCCTCCAGCCCTTGAAAAGTCCACCCTCTTTTAGGCTCGGCTGATGATGAATTAAGGGTGGCTAGGGATGGCCAGATGTAGTGGACAGAAGGAAATCAGCTCCAAGAATAGTCCCCTCTGGGTGTTTGGTGAATCAGTGGAAGGGCTGCTCAAGCCTTGGAGGCAGGAGCGCTGGTGGTGACGCGGCTGCGCCGGTGCACTGCCCGTGCTCAGCCCTCCCTGCCAGCGAGGAGCAATCTCTGCTTTGCCTGTGAGGGAAACTGAGGAGGAGAGGCAGGGAATCTGTCCTTTCTGATCTCCTGAGGCCAGGTGTCTCGTCCACTTGTGCGCTTGGGTAGTGAATGTGAAATGCTCTGAAATGCGCCTTTTTCCCGACCCCACTCGCATTTGAGTGTGCAGAGAGCCTTGGAGCCTTTACAAGTATAGGAAAAAGGAAACAGCAAAATCTGGCAATCCCTAAAGGGCCAAGTTCCCTGGGAAACTCTGGAGTGAGCTGAGTTGCAGGAATAAAGAAGTCAGTATTTATGCTTAGGGCCTTTACAAAACCCAGTGAAGCGTGTGGAAATTTTGTGTGCCCCAGAAATGGGCCTTGATCATGGGCAAAATGAGCAGCCTCTTTTTTCCCCCCTCACTTGATTTCAGATACACTTTTTAATATGCTTCAGATATAGTGCAGCAGCAATACCATGTTTTTAATGGTGTGAGTAAAGAACAAGCTTCTCTGGAAGCAGAAGTGTTGTGACTGTCACTCTCCTTTCCAGATTTCATCAATTCATATTTTCAGGCTCATTTATGCAAAGCATTTCATCGTGGTAGTGTAAATCATACATGAGCCCTCTGTACCTGGCAGTATGTATGTGAACCACAGGCCTCAGGAAAAGAGGGATTTTTCTGCTTGCTTTAAAATACCAGCATGGAATTTGTCAGTGATATGAATGTATTGAAGGCAGGATGCAGCCCACTACCTTTGAAGCCACCACAACATTCACATTTGGGTTCAGCAGAAAGAGAATTCAGGCCTTATGTCAGTGCTCATAAGCCAAGCCAATAACCTGCATCTCTCAAAAAAACCCTCCCAGATCATTATCATTTTGTGTCTTGTTATCATCCTGTCTAATGTGGGTGAGTCTGCTTGGCATCCTGTGTTGTCTGCATGGTATTAAAAATAAAAATAAAAAAAAAAACCTGATTCTATTCAAAATTGAAATTGTACTTAAGTGCTTTTAAAAATAAACTTAAGGGAAATCCAAATGTATGAGAAGCGTTAGGTTGAGGGAGCCTGGGTCCCAGGCTGTCAGCACCTCCAATGCTCCCACAGCTCTGAGCATCCAAGAAACATCAGAAATGAGGGGCTGGGAAGCTTGAAGAAAGACAAATCTGCCTCAGCGCTTCAAGGATTGAAAGATGTAAATATGTTACCAATGTGTCTGACTTTCTATTTAGAAGCCATAGATGTTCTCAGTGTTTGATCTTTGGGTAAGTTGATGTACATTTTTGACTGTACTAATCACTGTAAAATGTGTTAGCTTGTAAAACAGTGACAAAATAAGCCAGAAAAATCAGACACTGCATTGGCTGGTTCTCGAGATGTTTGTTGTACCTGAAACTGTCTGATGGACCAAGACACTGAAGTATCTCCAGTGCTCCATACAGCTTGTGAAGACTGATTATTGCCTTCTTATCAGTGTGTAACAGGCAGAATTAATCCCTATTTGTTGACATTTTGTTGGCCAAGTGATACACACTTATGTGTGCATTCGAGCCTGTCCTGTTAAAGATGAGGAAAGGGAGAAAAATCCTTTCTCTGTCTGGGACAGGACAAAAATCTGGTGAGTTTTGCTTCATTTCTGGGCCCTCCTTGCTGTCAACCATGAGATTCCTGATCAAACCTCTGCATTGAACCCATGTAAATTGTACTGAGCAACTGCTGCCTGTTGAGTATAGCCCTGATTTTCAGCTGGTGAGAAACAAATACTAATTTTGGGAATACTGGAGTAAAACTTTGTGTCTTCATTGTAGGGGAGCTTGGGCTATGACAAAAATAAAGCTGTTTCATGTTTGTTGTTTCTGTAAGGCAGTGGCAGTGAGGGTGGAGAAATCCATGCAGAGTCATGTTGGTTTTATGATGATGTTAATCTCTTGTGTCCTTTGGCTGACCTTTATTTTGTCAACTTTACACCTTGTAATTTTGGCTTATTATTGTTTCTGTAGCTGTACTATGATTGTGATAGAAAGCCTATCAATTGCTGTAAGCCATAACTAGAACAGTAATCAGGGGTTTTTGGGTTTGGTTGTTTTTTTTGTTTTTTTTTTTTTTTGTCTGTGTCACTGTGTTTGAAAGATGATTTAATTCTATTGAATAAACAAACCACTTTAACA